TTATATATGATCACCATCATAAGTAACTGTTCAGTACATTTTTGTTGAAATGAGCGAATAAATTTTATAGCTCAGAATAAGGAAGTGATATATTCTAAATTGTATTGAAATAAAAACACATGGCACAATAGCTAAGTTATTTTTATTTATTTTTTTTCCCTGTGATAGAACAAGTAAGAAGTTTGCGACAGAGCACTATTGCCAAGCGTTCGAATGCAGCACCTTTGAGTAACACAAAAAAAGCATCTGGGAAGACTGTATCTACCCCTAAGGCAGGGGTGAAACAACCAGAAAGAAGTCAGATTAAAGAAGAGGTTTGTACATCACTGAAACCCGAGTACCATAAGGAGAATAGAAGGAGCAGCCGACATAGTGGACAAATTGAAGTAGTGTCAGAAGTATCAGTGTCTTCAAGTCATTCTTCAGTGTCATCTTGTCTTGAAATGAAGGATGAAGCTGGATTAGATTCTAAGCATAAGTGTAATAATCAGGTAGAACCAAATGTGCCATCTCATGAATTAAATTGTCCACTTCTTTCAGAGACTTGTGTTACTATTGAAGAAAAGAAAAATGAAGCTTTGTTGGAATGTAAAATTAAGACTGTTAGTAGTCCATTGTTTAAGTTTTCAGATAAAGAAGAGTGTGAACAAAATGATTCCATTTCAGGTAAAATGAATGAGGCTATTGTTGAAGAAATAATAACAAAGGGAAAAGTTGAACAAGACTCAAAGGAGACAGTAAAATTATCTCATGAAGATGAACAAGTTATTGAGGAACCTGGACCCTCTGCTGGTATTTCTGGTGATGTTGCTTGTTCAAATCCAAATAAGACAGAAAAGAACCTTGCAGATTTGTCTAGTTCTGTGGATGAAGTTACTGAATGTAATTTGGAAAGGAAGAATACCATGAATGTTGCTGATGATAAAGCTAAGAACTCTCTTCAAAGAAATAAAATGGAACCATTGGGTTATTGTGAAGACACAGAGTCTAATAAGCAGTTGCAGAGCACCGAGTTTAATAAATCAAACTTAGAGGTGGTTGATACTAGTACTTTTGAATCAGAAAGTAATATTTTAGAAAATGCTATTTGTGATTTGTCTGACCAAAATTCTAAACAGTTGAGTATTACAGAAAGTGCTAAAATGGACACTTATGAAACAGCAAACCTTCAGGGTGACAGAAACAGCCAGTCAAGTAATGTTTCTTACTTAGAGTCAAAAACTATAAAGTCAAAACACACAAAACCTGTAATTCATTCTAAGCAAAACATGACCACAGATACTCCGAAGAAAATTGTTGCAGTAAAGCATGAAGTAATGCAGAACAGAGCTAAAGTTAATGTCAAAAGTGGGAAACGAAATGCTGATGAACCAGAATCTCAGCAAAATTTTCATAGGCCAGTCAAAGTCAGAAAAAAACAAGTTGATAAGGAGTCAAAGATTCAGAGTTGCAATTCTGGGGTTAAATCCATAAAAAACCAAGCTTATTCTGTTTTGAAGAAAACATTACAGGATCAGAATTTCATACAAATTTCTAAACCCTTAACTCATTCTTTGAGTGATAAGCCTCATGGTCACCCTGGTTGCTCTAAAGAACCTCATAATCCTGCACAAACTGGACATTTAGTACATTCCACCCAGAAACAGTGCCATAAGCCTCAGCAGCAGGCCTCAGCAATGAAAACTAATAGTCACGTGAAGGAAGAGCTCGAACACCCAGGTGCTGAGCATTTTAAAGAGGAAGATAAACTGAAACTAAAAAAACCTGAGAAGAGCCTACAACCCCGTCAAAGAAGAAGCAGCAAAAGTTTTTCTTTGGATGAACCACCATTGTTTATTCCAGACAACATTGCTACTGTAAAAAGAGAAGGCTCTGATCATAGCTCTTCATTAGAAAGCAAATATATGTGGACTCCCAGCAAGCAGTGTGGGTTTTGCAAAAAACCGCATGGCAACAGGTGTGTGTGTGTGTGTATGAGTGATGTGTACATTGAAGAGAAATTACTTATTTGGGGTGGGATTAGTGTGAACTTTTTTATAGAAATTATTTAACATATAAAGACTTTGGCAAAAACAAAAAACCCTTCATCAACCCTGGATAAATGATAGAAAGATGGAGCCACCAAATTTGCAAATATATCGTCCTAGAACATTTTAAAAAAGCATAGTGTGACCAGCAGCTGGCATATATGGAAGTGTTTTGTCATTGTAACTAGAGAGTGTAATTTAGTTGTTGCATCTGGGGGAAAAAAAAAACACCAAAAACTTCCTACTAATGAGAAAATTGTTATACTGCTTTGGGTCTGTAAGTTATATATCATTTTAATTTGGCCTGAGAAGAACTAGTAATAAAGTATGAAGGTCGTAATGGAAATTCTATTTTCCTTTTGAAGTTTTTTTATTTTATTTTATTTTTTTTGGTAAAAGGATGCATATTAAAGATTTAATGCCATCACTTCATAACTCTTAAAACTTGACCTTGGAATGAAATTTGATAGCTAAACAACTGTTAATTACCCAGCTGAATTTTGTATGTAACATTGAATAGAGTGAAAACATGTACTTCTTTTTTGAATGTTGTAGTGATTTCAAGAATTTTTTATGAGTTCTAATCTTTTAAAATTTTGGAGGTGATTTTAGTACTGCTTTTCATTATTCTTTCCTAGGATTCAGTGTTTTGTAGTTTTATGACATTGCTCCTCAACCCCAATGTATTTTTTGCTAGCTTTTTAAGAAAAGGAAAAGAAGAAGTGAAATTTGCAGCTACAAGATTATCCTGTTCAAGTGTTCACATTGCTGTTGGAACTTCTATCAACGCTGATATGATAAAAGAATATTATAACCTGTATACTGTATTATTATCCTCAGTCATGAAAGTACTCACTCATGTTATGGTGACTTTTCCCAGCACTATTAGATTACATAAAAATGAAACTCTTTAGGGAGGGACAATTTAGTAAACTGTGTTGTAACACATTATTTTGATGGCGGGGGGTGGGGATGATTGAGGAGAATGGGAGGGAGGTGTTTGCGTTATTCTGTAAAAAATAAGTTTTATATCAAAGGAT